TCCTTGCCTATTAGGCTACTTCCTTTAGTTACTACATAAAATGTTGCATTTGCACATTTAGATTTAAACTGAACTTTAGCTTTAAAACATCCTACAGTTGTTATCTTATGAGATGTATAGCTAGTTATAGGCATTATACATGGTTCCAATGCATCTCTAACAAAATATTTATCAAATAATTTAAGTGAAAGTAAGGATACATCAGATGCTGTATCAACAAGCATTTGAATATTTATAGAGTTTACTTTAAGAGTTCCCCATACACTTTTCCTTGAATCAGTGTTGCTTGACCTTGTACACAATACTTCAATCATGTCGCCATCTTGATCAGTCTCACCTCTAGCGTGTTCAACCTGCTTAACAACTTTCCTTTTACCACGGCAAACACTAGACAGATGTCCCTTTTTTCCACAAGAGTTGCAGTCCTTTGACCTTGCAGTACATTCTGGCGAATTTGCTAAATGTTGAGGTGAACCACAGCGATAACACTTGGCATTGCTATTTGGCCTGCGTCTCTGTTTCTCCTTCTTAAATTCAGCATTAGCACCTCTAGGCTTAGCTTTGTATTTCACCTCAGAGCATGTATGAGTATCACCTCCGCTCATAGACTTGGCCTCTTTCATCGCAGTTTCACACTGCCTTGCTAGTTTAATGGCCTTGTCCAGCTTGACATCGGTTTCTGTAAGTAATCTAGTTCGTATTTTGGAATTATTAGTCTTCTCTACAAGTTGATCTCGTAGCATTTCGTCCTCAAACGTACCATATTCGCATCGTGAAGCCAGTTCGCGGAGTGCTGCAATGTAATTGTCGACTGATTCGTGCGGGAGCTGTGCACGCTGACGAAATCTATATCTCTCAGCCACCACACTAACCTTTGGTGCAAAATGACTCTGCAATGTTGTCATTGCCTTTGTAACTATATCGTCACCTGCTTCTCCTAGTTCTGGTAACGTGTAAAAAATCGTTGGCCTTCCGGACCTAGCGAGTGTAAAAGTATAGCTCTTCTACGCTCCGGCGATTCCTTCACTGTATTCGAAGCGAGTAGGTAATTCTCGAATAATCGCCTCCACTGCAACCACGGTATGACAGGGTCTCCCGGCGTAGGCAGAAACTGCACGGGTGCCTCGATTTGTGTGCTTGTCATTGTAATGACTTGAAGCAAAATTTAGAACTTGTAAATGTAGGAATAATAGCACACACAATCAATAATTTTCCTCGTCGCCAAATATGGTGTTGAGTCCTTGTAAACTAGCAATAAAGACAATATAATACAACAGTATAACTCATAGAACAGAATTTAATTCTTTTCCTCGTGGTTCTCTCTCTCTGTGGCAACTCCTGCCCTCAACGTCGGTATTGTCACACAGGACAACAGTAAGAACACCACAGTTGTACAACTGCTTTTTCTAAGACACATATTTTAAGAAAAAATACAGAATTTTCAATATTTAAAAACTGGGGTTATACTGACCAACGTTTGATTGAAATCAGCCCAACCGTTTGGCTCTAGTATCGTTTTGAAATGTTGCCAGCTGAAGAAAAGGAATCCGAAGAACGCAAAGAAAACAGAAGCCAGTCTACCACCTGCGGCTGACTAAGGCTTAGTTCAGACTAGGTGGATAAACCCGGCTCAACTCACCGGGTTTATCCACCTGCCAGTCTGAACTAGCTGGCTTATATATATTATATTAACTAGGCCTGGCGCGCCACCGTGTTTAACTTTTCTAAGCCGGGCTTTAATTGTTGTGAGGGGGGGGGGGTCTTGCATTGACTTCCGGGTAACAAAATGACCAATCAACAATCAATTACGTACGCTGTGAGCGAGCGCACGTTTCGCGAAGAGCAATGTTTTGAAACACGTTTCCTGGTTACGGTTCATTATTATGCTAATTCTCGCCTGGCTAAACCCGCTAGTCTGAACGCCTGGCAAAGTTAAGCCGGGCTTAACGTTGAGCCGGGCTTATCTCCAAGTCTGAACGTTGCCTAAGTAAATAACGGAAATATTTCAATTTCAGTTATTTTACCAATTCCAAAGTTTCAAACATTTTGGCATTTATGCAAAACCGACTTGCACACTTGCGAAATCGGCAACGTAAGAGTTAATGACTATCGTCCAGTGGCCTTAACTTCTACGACTTTTGTTTTCATTTCTGGTTTTTGTCATCAAACTCATCATTTGGATTTTAGCATATCATTGATATTATTATTAATATATTAGCTAAATTATGAATACTATTAATTAACCATGAAGCTCTAAATTTATTTTATAGAATGTTAATTTAAGTATGCCTGAATATTGACCGTTTGAGTAAAGTAACAATATCATATTACAGTATTACTCTTTATAGTTTTTTTTTTCATACTTTATTTGCAATGTTTCAATTGTTTAAATAATTTACAGTAATACACAGGTACAGGTAGAATGATATTTATAGTCGTGTTAGACATGGCTTTAGGTTGATCACTTCAATATAAAAATAGTTGATATTAAACAGGCATTGTTTAATTAAAGGTGAGAATTGGCCAACATCTTACAGACATTGGAAGACACAGGATGTGTGATTTGCTCATATATGGTTGTGATATGACGACATTATTATGCCAAAATATGGATGTGATATGGCACCATATATGGGCAATCCACACAAGTTTGCCTCATAAAGGATGGATCGAGCTTAAATCAAACATAGGCCTACACATTTTTTATTTCTTCTGATAGAAAAGATTTTTAGTCATTCCACATTTTTAGCTCCGCGCCAGCATTTTCTGATGAGTTAGAGCAATTTGAAATTTTCATGACCTTGACCTTTAACTCAAAATATCACAAAAGTATGTATCTCGATTTTTGAAAAATTCACACCTCAGTTAGGACACTTGGCCCACATGATGCCCCTAAAGTTTAATTGTGGACAAATGAAATATATTAGCTCTAGACTAGGTATTGATAGTGTCACTGAGTTTCCAGCAAATCTGCTGATAGATTCTATACAAATTGGCACCATAGTATAGTGAAAATCAGGGGCCCCGTGACAATTTTTCTGGGACCAAGGTTTCACTGCTGATTTAGCATCACTGGCGTATAGATAAGCAATTGAGCGAGGGAGAACCTCTAGAAAAAGGGCGGAACATATGTTTTTGGTGGCCATTTTCAAAATGGCCGCCAAAATTATGATATTGACTCATAACTTCAATTATATCTAATGAAAAAGGGCCCATCTGGTGTCTAACTATATGTTATTATGGTCACTGAAGCCAATGAGACTGGTTTCGAAAACGTAAAATGGCAGCCATATTGAAATTCAAGATGTCCGCCTTAAAAATGGTAAAATAATGTTCAGTATAATTCCACATTTCATCTATGGAAAATGGTAAATTTGGATCTAATCATATGATTTGGGGCTCTCTGAATACAATAAATATAGTTTCAAAAACCAAAAGCTAGGATGGTAGTCATTTGAAAATTCAAGATGGCCGCCATAAATATCCTAAAAAATCGAATATTTTAGTTTGTAATTCCACTTCTCTGATGAAAAACGCTAAATTTGGTGTCAAATTATATGGTTTTGTGTCAACTGAGTTCAATAAACATGATTTCAAAAAGCTATGATGGCAGCCATTTTAAAATTCAAGATGGCTGCCATGAAAATTGTCAAAAATCAATATATAGAGAGACACAACATGTGATTAGACACGAAATTGTTGCCATTTCGGCTACGAAGAAATTAAACAATTAACACAAAATATTGATTTTCGACAATTTTCGTGGCGGCCATCTTCAATTTTAAAATGGCTGCCATCCTACCTTCTTTGAAATAATGTTTATTAAACTCAGTTGACACAATAGCATATAATCTGACACCAAATTTAGCATTTATCATCAAATAGAAGTGGAATTACATACCAGAATATTCATTTTTTTATGGTTTTTATGGCGGCTATTCTAGATTTATGAAACCATGTATATGTTAAAACATCAAATTTAGCATTTTTCTTTAAAGAGAAGTGGAATTACACACTAAAATATTCGATTTTCAGGATATTTATGGCGGCCATCTTGAATTTCAAAATGACTACCATCCTAGCTTTTTGAAACTATGTTTATTGTATTCAGAGAGCCCAAAATCATATGATTAGATCAAAATTTACCATTTTCCTTAGAGGATATGTGAAATCATACTGAAATATAATTGTTTTGACGATTTTTCATCATGAGTTTCAATATGGCTGCCATTTTACGTTTCGAAACCTGTCTTATTAGCTTCACTGACCCTAATAACATATAGTTGGACACCAGATTTCCCCTTTTTCATTGGATATAAGTGAAGTTATGAGTCAATATCATAATTTTGGCGGCCATTTTGAAAATGACCGCCAAAAAAAATATGTTCCGCCCTTTTTCTGGAGGTTCTCCCTCGCCTAATTTTCTTATTTATACCCTAGTGATGCTAAATCAGCAGTGAAACCTTGGTCCCAGAAAAATTGGTCTCGGGGCCTCTGATTTTCACTATACTATGGTGCTAGTTTCGTAGAATCTATCAGCAGATTTCCTGGAAACTCAGTGAAACTATCAATACCTAGGCACATAATGTAGTCTAGAGCTAATATATTTCATTTGCCCACAATTAAACTTTAGGGGCATTATGTGGGCTAAGTGTCCTAACTGAGGTGGGAATTTTCCAAAAATTGAGATATGTACGTTTGTGATATTTTGGGTCAAATGTTAAGGTCTCGTGACTTGACCTATATAATTCTCAATAGTCCGGACATCATCGAGTTGCATATCATTGGAAAGAGAATCTTCTTTTCTATCCAACGGTACCGGAATTTCAAGAGAGTTGAGTTTCAAGAGAGATATCAGTCAGAAGGTAAGTTTTTTAGGCAAATCTCATGAAAATTTCAAATTGCTCTAACTCATCAGAAAATGCTGGCGCGGAGCCAAAGATTCCACTGTGAGGTTATCTCAGGTAGAACGCCCAACATGCAAAATATTGGGCGATTTGAAGGGGGGTCAGGCAAAAAAGTGTGTTGGATTCATATGTAATGACTCTTTAGTGTTAGTACTGTTACATATAGACCGTATACATGTAAACACAATTGTTTCACGTTCATAGTTTGCTATAATGGATTATTTATATTGTTTATTGTTTTATAGGAAAGCAAAACAACAAATACGAAACCTGTCAATGAATCAGAAACAAGTTGAAGATGTGTACGTAAATCAAAGTTCAATCATTAATCAAGCAAATATGAAAGATGTATCCGAAGATGTGTATATGTATTCTATGCCAACTGAGCAACATATCTACACAGATTTGAAGACAAAATAAGCAACACGTGGTTGATACAAACCTACGAAATTATTTACAAAATCATTAATGTATTATTCTTTTGTCAAATTCTGATTAATCTTTTTTTCTCTCCAACTTTATTTCACCATTCTTTTCTCTGATTTTTAATAATTATTGTCAATATTATACACACTACTGTAATAATGTTGTCAATGAACAATTTCTTAGTTAATTTGCATAGTTAATATAGATGAAAACAAGTAATAGGCCTAAGTCAGTAAATTGAGATTATCAAAACAATTTTGAACGCAACCTTACCATACATATACTTTTATTGCCTTTTTTCACACAAAAAAACAAATTTGATGGAAAATTCGGGAGCGGTTGATGACATACTAGACTAGGAAAAAAATAAAAAAGAGGCCTAGAAATCAAGTTAGGGGGAGTGGAATGTTAGAAGTAGTCAATATAGCCAGATATCCTAATTAATCCGTCCTGGTCACCCTAAGCCCTGTTGACACTTTATTTTTCACCTGGTATACAAATGGCGGCCATTTTTGAAAATAACCGCCAAATTTATCTAAAATGTGCATATAATTGGAACTAAATAAGCTACAGATATGATGTTGGTGTCTAAAATCATAATTTCTATACAGGCAACAAACCAGACATATAAAAACTGTCAC